GTTCGCCGCTTCTCTCCCCTCCGCCACGCCGTCGCCCACTGCGGGGCCCGCTTCGCTCCCATCCGCCCCCGCGCCATGCGCCGGCCCCCGCCGTCTCTCTGCGCTTCCGCCGCGAAGCCGGCGCGCCGGCGCCATCGTCCCCAACAGCGCGAGGGCGTCGCCCGAAGACACGCAACTGGCCAGCGGTAATGGACAATTGCTGCTCTTAATCGCGTGTAATTAACGGGGGAGTGGAGCGGCGGCTTCGAGTTAAGCCGCGCCGCGCCGCCGACGCTCCCCTCCACCTTCCCCTCCATCCACCTCCGCGGCCATCGCCACCGCCGCCCAGCCGCTCTCATTGCTGCAACCGCCATCACTGGGCCAAACCCACTCTCCTCCACCATCTCCTCTGCGGCCATCGCCACCGCCGCCCAGCCGCTCTCATTGCTGCAACCGCCATCACTGTCTCAAACAGTCGCCGTCCCAACCGCCACCATCAGCGCCGTTGCCCCAACCAACGCCACGGCCATTGTCACTATCACTGTCACCATCACCGTCACCGCTGACTGCTCCCCTCGCCGGCGCGCGGGCTTCCGCCCAGCAGCTTCCACGCGGCCAAAGAGTTAACGCCGAAAAGCGCGGCTGAGCGGCAGCGCAACGGCCGTTCTCCCCTCGCGTTGCGCTTCCCCCCCCCCCGCGTCCGGCTGCGCTCTCTCGCGCCGCCCCGGCGACGCGTCCCGAGCCCTCGCTGCACTCCCGCGCGCGCTCTGCCGGCGCTTTCATGTCTCGGCCTCTTTCGCGGCGCTACGCGCCGTCAACAGCGCCGCTCGCTACAAGTTCTAGCAGCCCCGCCACCCCTCTTAATCCCTCACTATCATCAATTAAAGCTGATCACTACCAATTGTTCAACGTTGTCGAATCGCATGTAATGGGGGGAATTACATCCAATTCTATCGGAACACTCAATCTTCAATGCAAATAATGAACGTACGTTGTCGCCATGCGGCTATTACACATTACCGGGTTCATCGCGTTGTAGTCTGGTACATTTCTTTCCACATACGTTTCCCAGTACTCTTACCAGTATATCATATGGCTCTTTCCATCACCAATTTCTTTGCCGTCTATGCTTATCATCGTCCTCGCGTGACATCTCGCGTCCTCCTCTTCCTCGCGTCTTTTCCTTCCCCTAGCTCGCTGTGGCTCAAACGATTTTCCCCACGTCGGCAGGACACAGGCTCTAGCCCTTCTCTCTCTCCCAGAGTTTTACCGTCATTTGCGCCCCAAACCGTCTCCTCGCCTCGGTGGGCACCCTCGCTCACCCCGCCCCCCCCCCCCGCGATCGCATCCTGCGCGGGCGCGCGATGCAAAGGCCTCGTAAGCCGCACGCGCAGGACACGCGGCGCGCGCAATATCCTGGCGGGGGAACAGGGCGGGGCGCGGATATTCACGAGAAAATCCTTTCAGCGCGACTACGCCGCCGCCGGCCGATAGGATAGCGTCGCAACGAGCACTCGCTGCCTCCCCGCGAAACTCCCCCGCCGCCTGCGCCGTTACTGGCCCTGCCTCTCCCCTCGGTTCCCCGTCCCTACGCTGCCGTAATCTAACCTCCGATGTAAGTTTCCCCCGCGTCCACGCCCCCACGCGTCCCGACCCAACACCCGCACTCACGCTCCCCGCGTTCTCGGTATCCTCTGCCACTCGTCGTCGTTACTCTCTTCGCCCTTACGCTCCCTAACACATAGTTCTATGTCCACCCGCTCTCTTATCAGGTTCCTCAAACCTAAAAGCTGTTCAAAAACCATAGGCTGCCCAAAAACCATACGCTCTCGAGCCCACTCCAGCCCACAAGTTCTCCAACCCATATTCTCCCTAACCCAAGCTCCCCCTCACTTATCCATGAGATCGCAACCTATTCGCTTCCCAACTCGCACTCCCCGGCTCTTCCCTTCCCATTCCATTCCGTCGCTATGTTTACAAAAGTCGACGCGTTCGCTCTCGCCAAATACGGCGGATAACCGCCTAATAGAAAGTGTAAGAAAGCTTAATAAACGCGCCACTCTCTTTTATACGATACGATTTTCGCTGCGTATTGGCTCATTTCACAAAATTAGATTTTTAAGCTCTCTGTGTAACTGTACTGGGCCTTTACGTTATTAGCATCGATTTGATGATGTATATCCAAAGATAAAAGGAAACACAAATGAGGATGAAATTTCAGTATTATCAACTTTGATCTTTGCCATTATACGTTGTCACTTCATACGTCAACGTCAGCAGAGTAATTTCCCAAGTTTTCCAATTTCCAAATACTGTACATAGAGTTCAACTTTCCCAATAATTAGGTAACAATTATTCTACTGTTACAATGTTGTAATTTCCCGTAAATGATAATATCAACTTTATCCTTGTTTACGATCGAAAACACTTCCAGCGTAAATGATAACATAATTTTGGGAATATCAGCTGAAGCTAGAAGATCTTTCCGTCTCGTTTCGAGAAATCGCACTCCAACCAAGATTGTCAGTTCAGAATTGCTAACTTCCCAGGCGTATAAGCGTTCTTCGAAATTTGGAACCGATTTGGGGGAAAAGTGGTTTTTAAAACCACTGAAGATGTATAATCGGTATGAGTGGTATCTCGATATTAAAATGTTTCGAACCACACAGATACGCATGTACGTCTCTTATATACGGTTGTAATACCACAAAGTAGGATTCTTTCCAATACCCAAGTAGGACAACAGAAACATTTTTTCGAAACTACGCACGAACAAAACGCAAGGTCAAGTTTTCGAAATTGTGAGAATGTCATTGAATTTTAGACCTAACTGTAACCTCAGAGACTTTGAATATACAACCTTAGAGAGCGTGATTACGGAACGAGTTTCAAAAAATAAAACAAATCTACAAAGCTTACTGGGTCTGGGGCAAGAAAACGTTTGGCTGCCAATTGGAACTGCATCTGAGGATGCAATTATTAAACAGATAGCTTCAAAAGGCTAACATCGCAAGAAAAGTTGAGAATTTTGTGAAAAGCCAGTTTCAAAATTTTAAAAGATCAAAGTGTTGCATAATTAGTCACACATGTTACTGCAGATCCTGTAAAATGATGGTCTTTTTCACACTAAACTCTTTGTCAAAAGCAGAGATTATTTAACTCCCGGTCACATTTTCAAAAAAAAAATTTGCAAAGTTGCAATAATCAAAACATTTCACCCCTAGAAAATTAATATGATAGTCACGTGCAGTGAAGGAGAATGTGATGCAGTGTAATACATTTTGCAGAGCGAAGTAGTGCCGCGCAATGCAGTACAGTATCGCAATGCCTATAGCGCAATCCAGTCACGCGAATTTCAGAATAGCGTTGCAATTCCGTAGAGCACAATACAATAGAGTGCAATGTAGAGCAGCGTACTACAGAACAGTGCTGCTATGTCGCACAACGCAATGCAATAGTGACCAACAACTGAGAGCGCAATGCAAATGCAATGCAATGCAGCGCAATGCAATACTGTGCAGCGCAATGCAATGCTGTGCAGCGCAATGCAGTGCAGTGCAGTGCAGCGCAATGCAGTGCAGTGCAGTGCAGTGCAGTGCAGTGCAGTGCAGTGCAGCGCAGTGCAGTGCAGTGCAGTGCAGTGGCAGTGCGTGCAGTGCAGTGCAGTGCAGTGCAGTGCAGTGGGCAGTGCAGTGCAGTGGCGTGCAGTGCAGTGCAGTGCAGTGCAGGTGCAGTGCAGTGGCCAGTGCAGTTGCAGTGGAGTGCAGTGCAGTGCAGTGCAGTGCAGTGCAGTGCAAAGTGCAGTGCAGTGCAGTGCAGTGCGCAGTGCAGTGCAGTGCAGTGCAGTGCAGTGCAGTGCAGTGCAAGTGCAGTGCAGTGCAGTGCAGTGCAGTGCAGTGCAGTGCAGTGCAGTGCAGTGCGTGCAGTGCAGTGCAGTGCAGTGCAGTGCAGTGCAGTGCAGTGCAGGTGCAGTTGGCAGTGCATGTGCAAGTGCAGTGCAGTGGGCAGTGGCAAGTGCAGTGGCAGTGCATGTGCAAGTGGCAGTGCAAGTGCAGTGCAGTGGCAGTGCCAGTGCAGTGGCAGTGGCAGTGCAGTGCAAGTGCAGTGGCAGTGCAAGTGCAGTGCAAGTGCAGTGGCAGTGGGCAAGTGCAGTGCAGTGCAGTGCAAGTGCAGTGCAGTGCTAGTGCAGTGGTCTAAGTGCTAGTTGCAGTGCAGTGCAGTGCAGTGCAGTGCAGATGCAGTGGGCAGTGGCAGTGCAGTGCCAGTGCAGTGCAGTGGCAGTGCAGTGCAGGGCAGCGCAGCGCAGCGCAGCGCAGCGCAGCACAGCACAGTACAGCACAGCACAGCACAGCACAGCACAGCGCAATGCAATGCAGCGCAATGCAGCGCAATGCAGCGATATGCAGCGCAATCAGGGCAGTGCAGCGAAATGCAGTGCAGTGCAGCGAAATGCAGTGCAGTGCAGCGCAATGCAGCGCAATGCAGCGCAATGCAACGCAACGCAACGTAGCGCAATGCAGCGCAATGCAGAGCAGCGCAGCGCAGAGCAATGCAGCGCAGCGCAATGCAGTACAACGCAACGCAGCATAGAGCACTGCAATACAGCGCAGTGCAGGGTAGTATAACGCAATGCAGTACGCAGAAATGCAATTCAGTTTAACGCAGAGCACTTAATCGCAATGCGTATTAATGTTTAATAGTTGTGGGGCGAAATGCAACAAAAACCAACATAGCACTATTAATTCAATTTCCAAATGCATATATACTAATAGTTAAGTTTGTTTAAATATTAAATTTAATATTATAATAATTATTTACAAAACATCAAAATTCTACTGACATATAACGAATTGCTTCATATGCCTGAGTTTCAGCCCCAACAGATTTCTATCACGTCTACATCAGCTACTGCATTTATTTAACTAATCTTCATTTTTTTCTTATTCATCATTGAATTTAAAATATTTTACTACCTTAATTTTTCTATATTAATTATATTTCTAAAATTGTGAATTTGCGTCTTACTGTGGTGTCCTGAAGACGACCGCCACACGATCTTCTAGTGCTTTACCTGGAAAATAAAAGATATGTGTGAACAACAGAGTACCAAGATCTTAGAAGTATCATCATTATTGTTCAACATTTTTAAAGGGACTAATTTTAAAATAAAAGTAACATCTTTGTAACAACACCAATCTAACATCGTGGAAACATCCTTGAAACAACATTCGTTTACA